GGGGTCAAAATCACGAATTTTGCTGAAACTTGGCCTAAGGGTGAGGGTCATTCGGTATGCTGATCACAAAATCATACTCTTTCTGCATGTTAGGGCCTCTTCGTGAGAATACTGTGGGTCCACGCGCTATTCGGCTATCCGGGCCCCGAAATTTTTTGTCGTGGATTTGGCTCAAACCTGGTAATATAAAATCACAATCCAGTTTTTCAAATCACACGATCTCAAAGAACCACTTCGATCAAACATTATCATTCCCTTGTCAATATCAGCGTGTTGTCCTGTAAGATAGTAAGAACGTTCAAGATTATCGACCGCGCAGCGAAATTATACCGGCGATTCATGAAACCCAAAGACTGGGCGCCATTGCGTCCGATGAAGATGGGAGACGGTCAAGAGGCGCGATTTCTCTGGCTGTCACCAACTCAAAACTCCAGTTTAGTGCTATGCGATTCTTCAAAAAGTACCGGATAAAATGCATTGGCTTACTATCGGTTTGAGGTTACCGCTTGCTGAGTGTGTCCATCTGGCAATAAGAATCGCGCCTCTTGATATACACCCGACGAAGATAGCTCGTGCATGGAAGAGACGCAGATGGTAAGAGGAACAGAAGAGCCCATGGTCAAAGAAACGCAGATACGTCCATAGTCTTTGCGTGCGATGAATCGCCTATATTTTTTGGATAATCCGATTCAGCCGCCCGTCCACATCGTTATTTGCTAATTTGAATCGATGAAAAAAGCGCGAAGCCAAGAAAGGGTGCTCGCACTACATAAGCATTTTTGCAAGATCACAGCAAAGTCTGTGAGTGTCTGAAGCGAGGGACAGGGAAAAATGGCAACTTCTGTACTGGGGCCCGCACGTCACGTGAGGACGGGCCATCTAAGTATTAGGTTGTAACAGAATAAATGCAGGTTTTCCATACCTCTTTTTCAAAGCGTTGGTTCAAAACAAAATTCCATTGTCTTTAGATACTATCTATACCATCTGAAAGCGCTCTTCTTCTAGTTTCTTGGTCATGCTTTCGTTTCAGGAGGACTGGGTTTATTTCGAAATTACGTGCTTTTGAAATGAAGAGGGTAAACTTTGAAATTCTTTTATTTTACACTCTTTGCTCTAAATCCATCGCGAAAAATCGGAATTTTTCGCAAATTGGCATACTGTTTGTACGTGATATGTGCTACAAAACTCACATTGAAGCAAATTTCTCAAAAGTTTCCAGACTGAGAAATCTCATTTCAAACCCAAACAACCTCTGCTATCATTCTGCGGCGTATAAAAATCCCAAATGCGAGGCGATTGCGGAACTTTCGCCTTGCGCAGAAAGAACAGACTTGGAACACCTAATGGCAAAAAACTGGGAGCCTTTATTCCCTTCGGCGGCGAGAAAATTCAAAAAATAGCAAAAAAAAAGCACATTTTCGTCTTTTCAGAGCGCTTGTGAAGATTGAGTGATTACAAATTTTTTGCAATATTTTCCAGCAAAATTTTTTTCGTGAAATTCAACTTTAACGCTGCTGCACAACCGACTATTGTCTACACAGTGAGTGAAGTTTGTGCCATTCTACTACATTGTATAGTGAGTTATGATCTCTCGAATTAAAGGTTTTTGAAGAAAAATTTTGGCAGTCTTCGGGCTATAAAATTTTTCTCAATGAAGCTACAACGATATGGTAGTGCGTACTAAATTGCCAAAAGTTTGCTGATTGCAGCAATTTTTATTGGAAACGGATTGACTATTTTTGTAAAAAGTTATTGTAATCCAAACTCAAAATTTGGAAAACCTGCATTAATTCTGTTACAACCTAATATCTAGGTAAGTAAGTATCACAGCAAAGCTCTCATTAAAAAAGCTCGATATTTTTTAGAACGAAGTTTATATTCATGATATATGGAAAGCAGTGGCGTACCGAGGGGGGGGGGCGGGGGGGGGCGCGCGCCCCCCCCCCCCGAGAACGGGTCGCGAAATTTTTGAAAGTTACTTACATGCGTTATAAAAATGTGCAAATGACTTGTTTATTTTTGTAAACAATTAAAATAATTTTTAAAATTTTTTAAAAATTCAAAATAGCTTTATAAAAAAAATTTTTTCGGGGGCGTGGCTGACGCCACGCCCCCTTTTTCCAGATTTTAGGGGTTGGGGGCCCGCAAAATTGTTGAGAAGCCCCCCTAAAATTTTTTCGGAGTGCGTGGCTAACGCCACGCACCTTCATTTAAAAATTTTTTTTGCCGCGCCCCCCCCGAGCCGAAATCCTGGGTACGCCACTGATGGAAAGGGATAGGTTCCAGTCGAGTCACAGTTCAGTATAGCCACTAACATCAACATCACACCTATGCCAATAACTATATATCTTCGCATACGAAAACTAACTCAGATAGTTTCAGCCAGAAGCAAATACTCAAAAATCCTGTTAATGCTCATGGAACACAAAGATTAGACTGAAACAATTCACATTTGGCATTCTAAGAGAAAAAATAAGCAGCGAGGAGAACGAAAGCGCGTGCCACGGGTTTCCGTTATTCCTAGATTTTCAAATTCGCGTTATCAGTTTAAGTCTTTAAAATTAGATTAATCAGCAGATTAGAATAGATATGAACCTCTCCGACAGCGCTCTGCGCACCAATATACAGCGCAAATTGATTATTACAAAATTCTGCCGCTATCCGAAGCGGGCTGCGAGCGCGCGATTTTACGCAGCGTTTTGGTCTGATCATTGGGACAGTCTCAAACAATATTTACAAATGACAGCACGAAAGTTGGGTCCAAGTCCACCAACGATAGTCTGGTTAGGTTGTCACATAGCTAATAATTAAACCAAGGTAATTACTGGAACCAGCAACTATCAATAATGGGGCCACTGGACTTACATGAGTTGATCGTTCGCGCAGCCGGCAGAGTAGATCCAGAACCAGCCATACTATTTCTGTGATTCCCGTCATCATAGAGCGCAGCAAAGTCCACTTCAAAAACCATAAGAAGAGACGGGAGTTTTCACACTCCATGGATAACGGAAGTTATAAGAACACTACCTGATCGTAAAGGTTGTGACTATTGCTCACGCAGAATGCCAAAGGCTTCAGACCAGTAAAACAATTTTAGTACTGGGGTAACGAGCGAGAGGAACGATGGTTGGCGATTGTCAATGACCGCGCACATTTTACTACATTTTTGTCCTCCCGCAGGCAAATAATTCAAGGCATTTCCTTCTTCTATCTTTTTAGTTAGACATAAAAGTTGTGTAGGTTTTGAATTTTGAAGATGTTAGAAAAACCTAAAAATCTTAGAAAGGGTTCAGAACCCACCAACTAAAAAAGGGTTCAGAAGTTAGAGAATTCCAAGAATTTTTTTTTTGCAATAGAAACACCATGCACTTATCGCCTGGCTTCGGGAAACTTACAGAGTAAAGCGTTCATCCCAACTCTGCCAGTTTTCACTGAATTTCAAATCCTGAATCTCAAATCAATTTGTGAGGCAAATAGTGCATTACCATGCGTTGGCAATAGCTGACAATTGCTGTCGTTCCTCTAGCACCATTCTTATGAGAAAGCCCAAGCGCGAGCAATGGCCGCAAGCTCATTATGCGATCAGGCAGAGCCCTATAAGATATCACGGTAATTGCCGCTACCTCTGTCATGCCATCTTTTGAAAAAGTGCACAGGACCTTGAGCGCTGCAAGCCGTATAGGTTGAAAAGTCTAGATCCTGCTCAGTAAAAACATTTGAAGCATGTCAGTTCACTTGCAAGCGCTTTGGCTGCTTCGGGCTCATGTACAGTACATATACCGAAAGAAATGCGACGTTCGCACAGTTGTCTACCATATAGAAACTGAACATTTCACATCCTAACTTGGCGAATCCGAAGTAAACTCATCTACTTGTTGATGATTGATGGCAAAACAGTGGCAAGAGTCTTCATGAGGACCTATCTAAACTGTATCGGAATCGTCGACCGTACTGGCCTAAATTGCGGAGCACGAGTGGCGGCTGAAATATCAAGACAGCGACTTGTGCTGATACAAGCGTTTGGTAGGCGCCCAAGCGACTGTTTTGTTCGCAACCTAAGGTTTCATGCGACGGTAGTGTGCTAAGCCTCCCTGGACTGTTGAGAGTGAGCCTTGACATACATCGCTCGCCCCCAATCTTCTTTTGAGTCATCTACGGGCGCTGCGAGCAATACAACCTGCGGCGGCTTTTGCCTAAGTAGAGGAAAAGAGATTTGCCGAGTGATGTCTCAACTTTTCAGGTGAGTGCAAGCCCTACACACATTTACACATCTAACATCCTTATGTCAAGAATATTTCAAAGAGGTTCGGGGGCCGGCGCTCACCTGATTAGATTGAGGATTCTAGAAGAACCGAAAACATGACAAAGAAATAAAATCTCACTTTTCGGCAACGTATAGCCCCCTTCTAGAAAAGCGAAATCTACCCAAAAACGAGAAAAATTACAGAGCGAATTTTTGCAATCAAATGGTTTCCTGAGCGCCTCAAAGGCAAACTCGAGCACGCGATGCATGTGCGCAGCAGCGGTGAAAGCTAATTCTCAACAATGGTGGTCGCCCACGTACGCGAGGCGTGTGCGAGCGCACGAGCTGCAACCATGAAAGACGCTAAAACACGCCGTTCGCATCTGCTTCGTACAACAAACCGATCGCGTTCGCCAGAGATCAGCGTATAAATATGCGATGCTGGCAGGGAGACACCTATACCTTGCCACCTACGAAATCATTCTAGCGACAATTTGAGCATCGTTGATTATTGTAGTCTCTTTGAATGATTTTGATGCTCAAAAAAATCAAGAGAATAACGAGATGTAGGAAAAGACAAAAACTCACTTCTCTCAACGCAGACGGCAAAGCAGAGGGTCTGGCTATCGCAGGTGAGGTCAACGCATGGCGTCCTGTGCGGCAAGCATCGTCTACAAGGGAACGCTGATAGCTGGCAATTCATGGATGATTAAAATTGGTCGTTTTTCACAGCAGAGCGAAGGTTGATTCTCCGTACTCACACCCCTTGACCAGACCCAAAAGAGTTTTGAGGTACCAGTGCAAGACCACGCCTCAAAAGGTACACAGTTGCACGCCGCAACGGCGAATGAACGGGAAGCAAGGGTGACAGCGAAGCTATGAGCAGCTCCAACAATGATGCAGTGATTCCAGCTTTCTGGAACATTTTTGTTGTCCTGCAACAAATTACAGCGACAGATTTACCTACCTGGCTCTTCTCCGAAATCGAACTTGAACTCTCCGCACCCATACCAACAAGGAAAGTGGGTTTACTGTCTCCTGCAATGGATACGGTACGAGAGGTAGGTAGGACGGTTGAAAAGAAACAAAGAAAAGTCTTGCCCGGTACATGTGCCAGCACAGGAGGTGAAGACTTATGCCTATGGATGGGAGGAGCTGACGGTGGCAGAGCTGGTACTAATCGCTGCAATCTGGTGCTTAGGCCCGGCCAGACTTCGCTCAAAATCGCCCAAAAGCGCCCAAAGGCGCCCAAAAGCGCTCAAAAGCGCCCAAAAGCGCTCAAAAGCGCGCAAAAGCGCCCAAAAGCGCTCAAAAACGCTCAAAAGCGCCCAAAAGCGCTCAAAAGCGACCAGATTTCTCTGGCCTATCTTCACTTTCTCGTGTGAGGAGAGATGCGAGAAATTGAAGAAAGGCCAGAGAAGTTTGGGCGCTTTTGAGCGCTTTTTAGCGCTTTTGGGCGGAGTCTGGCCAGGGCCTTAGAGTTGCAATATAGGAAGAGCGTAAAATAAAAATTAGAACCAATTCATAAAAATTTGACAATGCTGGGTTTAGCGAGGGTGGAGGAACGGTGTACACAACTCAATTCCCTTCGCTCTAATTTTGCTGATCGCGACAACTCACATATAAGCTAAGCTTAGCCTGCTTCTCGTATTTTCACACATCCATCTTGCCATCTACAAGATCTACAAGAAAGTAGCATAATCTTAAAAATTACGGATGAAAGTTAAGCGCACCTTTTAGAGAAGTCCACTGCCTGGAAATGCGCAGCCGCTCTTCCGTCCAACATGATCAGGTACAATACAGTGCAACGCCGCCAAAACACTCCATTCTAATTGTAAGACCATCACCCAAATGACTTACACTCAGCACTTGGCATCAATCCTTGCTCCTTCACTCATGATCCTTTCCCTGGTCCTCTTGCACGGATGGCACTTGCCAAGGAACTACGGCAGGTAATCCCTAAATGGAAATAAAGTCGGCATGAGGGACAATGTGTTAGACAAGAATACCCAAAAGGGAACTTGTACCATTGAACGCTGGGCGCTATTCGGCTATCCGGGCCCCAAAAATTTTTGGTCATGGATTTCGCTAAAACTTGGCTCAGGGCTCAGGGTTATCTGGCATGCTGATCACGAATATCACGTTTTTTCCGCGCGAAGACGCCTCCCTGTGCGGTTACGGTGGGTATACGGTAGGGGTCCAAAATCACGGATTTCGCTGAAACTTGGCCCAGGGAGGTTATTCGACCTGCTGATGGCGAATACCATATTTATTTCGTACGGTAGCGTCATTTTCTGGGGCTACGGTTGGTATATGATAGGGGGTCAAAATCATGGATTGCACAGAAATTTGGCCTAGGGAGGCTATCGACCTGCTAATCACGAAGATCATACTCTTCTCGCATGATAAGGCCTTTTTATGAAGTTACTGTGGGTTTACGGTAGGGGCCAAAAAATGGCAAATTTGCCTGAAACTTTGTGTTTGGTGTTGGGTGTCCGACTTACCCTACCGTCATGCCTTTCATACAGGACCATCGCGGCGCGCGACACACTCTGCGGTGGCTTTGCCTAAGCAAACACAGGGGAGGATGATTTACCGCGGGAGACGGTCAAGAGGCGCGATTTCTCTGGCTGTCACCAACTCAAAACTCCAGTTTAGTGCTATGCGATTCTTCAAAAAGTACCGGATAAAGCGCATTGGCTTACTATCGGTTTGAGGTTACCGCTTGCTGAGTTTCGTGGCTTTTGATGAAAAACGGACCGAAATATTTACAATTTTGTTCCTAACTGCATTTTCATGGTTTTCTGACCTTCAAAATTGCTGTTTCAAATTGGTTTCAAGTTAGCACGAATGAGCTACCCGTGCCATTGTCTAATATATCTCCTTCTAAAATTTAGATACTCTTAGAATGTTATAAAGCACTTATTATGTGCCATTTGGTGTCCATCTGGCAATAAGAATCGCGCCTCTTGGTATACACCCATTTACCGCGCATCGTACGCCCTACCGTATAGCTACCATATCCACACAGGAAAACGTTTTCGTGAGGTAAAAACAAGATATTGGAGATCAGCATGCAAATTACCCCCCCCCCCGCCAAGTTTCAGGCAAATCCACGACTTTGACCCCCACCGTATACCCACCGTAACCCCAGAAAAGGGCGCTACCGTACAAAACCAGTATGATATTTGGCATCAGCGGGTCGAATGACCCCCCTACACCGATTTTGAGCGAAATCCACGATTTTGGCCTCCTACCGTATACCCACCGTAACCCTGGAAAATGACGCTACCGTGCAAAACCAGTACGATATCTGTGATCAGCGACCTGAATAACTCCCCTGGGCCAAGTATTAGCAAAATCCATGACGAAAAATTTTTGGGGCCCGGATAGCCGAATAGCACCGAAAGAATACCTGCCAAAAATCTGTCGAAAATGCATCGAATAATTGTTGCGCGCTGTGACCTATTGACAACTGCCCTGTAAGATGACCTTAAAAATCTTTTGTCTGAGAGAGATCGTAAAACGCTTACCATGTCTTGCACATTTCCAGGATACAGTTACTGTTTTGGTTCATTCAAAGTCAGCTTTCTTATGCAGACGGCACCAAAGCTTCGTCAAAATTCCACACACGCATAAGGCCTCGGGCAGAGTTCATGCGATTTTATTGCCTCGCGATTCTCCAAACTATCACAACCGTGAAGCAAGATGATCTTCAGCAAAACAACAGTTACGAGTCTAATGCATGTAGATCATCTTGCATTTCGGTTGTGATAGTTTTCCGACAAGACTAATAGTGACTAACGATCACAACCGAAATGCAAGATAACCGTCATGCAATGGACTTGTAACTGTTGTCTTGTTTGGAGAAACGCTAGTAATTAGATGAAGTCGCGTGAACGCTGCCCGAGGCCTAAACGACAAGCGCAAACCAGCAATATCGAAGTATAGATTGGACTGATAAATTTGATAGCATTTGCCGCGAATGCTCATCATTTGGCCGCCTCTTCAATGCCGTCAGCCTTTGTGACAACCTGTGCAGACGGGTAAGAGTAGCCTCCTTGGTAGCACCAGATTCAAAATACCACAAATAAGGCTGGCAGCCTAGGAACACAAGTAGTGTTACTCCAAAGGTACAGATGCAGTCAATATAGCATCTAGTGATACCCAAATTTTGATAAGATGGCTCCTTGACTGTATTGGCAAAAATAGATCGACATAGGAGGATCGAGCTGCATGCAGCTAAAAGGTAGTGTCATACATTGACGAGACAGCTTTACTGGAATGTAGGGTGTACGCGTGCTCTTCCAGCCCTTCATTTGTAGCGCGCAAAATAGACAGTCTGTTCCCCAGTGATGTGCCCATAGACATTACTGCTCGCAGCAACTCGCTGGCTTTCGCTTCTTTCACATTTTACCTGCAAACCACCTTGACTGCCTGAATTGAACATGTCGAAGGAGCGGAAAGCAGCGAATTGATAGTGGTACGTACCTATAGGCACACCTTCGAGGGGCAAACGATGAGTCCGTATCGCTGAAAAACGCATACACTACCATATAGTACATGCCACGACAACGCAAAGTCCGCATAAGCACAACTGCTTAAGGTGCTGCCATTTCTTCGGAAGAGTACATACCTCGCATCGAACACTGTTTAGCGCATTTGCCTAACATCAATCTGAACAATGATAGCTCTGGAAAACGGCACGAACTTTCAGACACCTAATACAATTTTAACGCATTTTTGTTTCAGCGTATCAAATCCCACGGGTGGCCAGAAAATTCGTTGTTTACAGTTACTATCTGGGCCTGAACAAACAAAAAGGTGGAAATGACAGCGCAGAATCAAAAAAGTTTCATAGGGGTTTGATTGTAACAGTCTATTCGCGAAAATTGTAATATGTTTCTGCATGTCAAACAACAAAAAAAACCATGTTTCTCTAGTGAGGAAGATCTCGAAGGTAATTGTGCATGAGTATAATAATTTTGAGTTACGGGAGAAGAGTACAATAAGTATAGTAAGTTCTATACATAGCGATCTTTTTCAAGACATGACCGTTACTTCCTCAGATTTGTTTCGATTATGGACAAACTGACTGATTCTTCAAAACATCTTTGCCAGCCCTACCAGCGCCGTAATTGTCGAGACGCAGACTAATTAGATGGTCCCACAGTCCCCACGCCAACTGGGCGGTGCCCCAGCAACTCCAGATGAGCTGTGCCTAGCCGGGTGACCGGCGGCTTCCCTTCCCCTTTCTTTACGCTTATAAAGATATAATAAACATTCTAGTCACAATGTCATGTTCATATAAAGTAAAATAATCAGGGTGAAGGATTCAAGTCAAGAGAGTGCACCTCTTGGACTTGACATGGAGGTCCCGGGTTGTTTTCTTTTTATGACTCACATTTTTAAATCAATTTTTCGAGAACTTTTTTTCTGAATCAACAATTTTTGAATTTAATCAGCATAGATTTTGGCCAAATCTTTTGCAAACTCCCACCGCCGGCACCAGCCCTCATCTCCTACGTTTCTACGTAGTTTTTTCTTCTTTTTTATTCATTTTTTCTCATTTTCTGCTTATTTTTTGAGTCAGGCGATGAGTCTGAGTTTTGTATTACTTGCTATTCTTAGCACAAAATAATATTTTCTATTTTATTTTTTACTTAACGATATTTTATCTCTTTCTCTTCCTTAATTCCGCGAGCCGTTATCCCCCGAGCCGTGAATAGCGAACCGTGAATTTTCGACGCTCTCTCTCTAGATCGACTTAACTCTCTAGATTGAGATTCCGCGAGCCGTGATTTCCTAGAGCCGTGATATCCCGGAGCCGTGATTCAGCGAGCCGTGAACAATTGTTTTTTTTTCTTTTTTCATCCAATCGATTTTTATCCGTCTTTATTCCATTGGGAACCCCATATTTTCTTTACCAACGCGTAACAATCTCAGTGACTCTATCGCCACCGCCGGCATTGTATATATGTACATATGAGGTTATGCAAGTGGAAAACG